ATGGAAATTACTATGTCGACTCTGGCCCATTTCTTTTTAGCTTGGCAGCAGTTTTGGAATACTCTGTTTACTATTCTCTGGAAAGGGAAATGAAGTTTTTTTTAAAAAAGGGTTGTATCCCTTCCGTCTTTTTCTTTGCTCCTCTCTTTCACCAGTCCCTTACTCATTATTTCTAAAATATTCCTTTGGTATCCTTGGACTGATGGAGAGACTGATAGATGCTGATAATAATGTGATAATAATAATACATACATACATACAGGGATCTCTGACTCATTTTACATTTAAACATAGCCAGGTGCAGTTAAGTCATGCAGTGATCCCCTTTGTAGTTCACAAGTATCAGTTACAGTTCGGTTAGTTAAAAGGCATTAGTGGTCTATGAAAAATGTATTCTAGTCTGTTGAGCTTCTTACAAATGCGATTAATTGTATTTCTGACTGGAGAATAAAACAGTTAGCTGCTGAGATCCTGCTTACAATATTACATGGCTATTCCTTCTTTATCAGCTATGTTTGGGTCTGTTTTCCCAAGACATACTTTCAATATATCAGAATATCATCAGAAACAGAACAATAGCCTTTATATGTGTAACAATTCTTTATATTTCCACCAGTGTTGCAACTGTTGTTTTTTCCTAGTGTTAGAGAGAATCAACAAGTAAAAACTTGTATTCAGGAAAGCTCTTATCAGTTACACTTAGCTCAGTTGAAAATTTACTGGATTTTCATCAGCAGAATTGTCAGCCTTTCATCATTAATTAATTACATGCTAGAGTCAGTCTTATGCAACAGAACTACTTCTGCTTACTCAAAAAACAACTAAAGAAGGTAATAGCATAAATGAAATAAAGTGTCATTCTCCACTGCAATCAATACCAGAGAAAAATCAAAAATTACAATTCATTTTTCATAATTTACCTTCCTAAGCAATAAAAAGAGAAGAAAGAGTTAAATGAATTCTGGTTTTGATTTGTGATGCGCACTGGAGTTTTCACGTTTGGCAGGTAACAAGCTTTCTGTCATAAGTGATTTTATCTTTTACTGTATTCCTGCAAATTGAAGCTGAAATGAGATGCACTAAGATCCTGAAACTCCCAAGGAATGTTGAGCAAAAGAGGGAAACCACTGCTCTCCCTTAGTTTTCATTTCCAAACATCTGACAAATGATGTACTTCTTCTTTCCTGCCACTTCACAAAATTTAAAGTCTACCTGAAAATGTTATTCATCTGGGCTGAGATAAAAACAGGCCATTTTGTAAAAGTTGAAATTGTCATTTGCACTGCACAGTTAAAGAAAAAGCCAACTATTTGTCAGGCGAACATGGAGTATTCTTTCACCTGGGGTCACAAAGCACTTTGCAACAAGCAATGAATTTTGCACAGGTCTTAGAATGAGGCAAAGAGCAAACTTAAGCAGTGATTAGTGCACCAAAGTGCTGATTCAGTCCTTACTCCTCAATGAGAGCCCGATTACTCAATGTATGGAAGTAAGGAAAAGGAACCTCTTGTAGTTATAGCACTACTTTGTTCTCTGTTAGTGCTGAGTGATGAAGGACCTGGTTTCCCTGCTATATTACTTAACCTAATTGGAACTATGCTCTCAGCTATCTCATCGCTTAATAATACCTAGGGATTTGGTAGCTTCATCTTCAAACTCTGAATAGTTAATTACTAGTTATATATTCGCCATTCATTTTTTAAATTAAAGATCCATCTCCATTGCACACATAAAGTGCTTCATTTCTTTTCTTAAGCAATAGATTTCAAAACTAAAGGCAGAGAGCTTGAGATTTTTATGCAGATATAGAGGATACAACTCCTAGACAGCATACATAAACCAGCTCTGCCCTAGAATAGTCTATACTGTGGCTGCTAGCCTTGATATATGAAAGGGGACAGATGGCTCATCCATCAGTTCTGTGTCAACAAAATGAAATACAACTTTGTGGAGCAGAATTATAGACTTTTTTGTTGGAAAAAAGCTAAGGTGTAAGCTTTTGGTTTGGTTTTTAACCATACAGGCATAATGTCTGAAAATCAGAATATAACAGGTTGTATGCTTTATACTAGCTCCTAAACCTGCTAGTCAAAATAGCTGCCAAGTTAGTTAGTCTGTATATATCACCTCTGCAGCTGGACTAATTTTTTAGCAAGGTCAGTGTGAGCAGCTTTATGCTTTAGTCTGATACAGGATTTTGCCCAGAGATATTTATTTGTTAAATAAAGGAGAAGCTAATGCTCAGACAATCATAATTTTCATATAATAATGTTCTTACAATAGGGCTAGGATCTATATTGTGTCATAGAGTTAAACGTGTTCTGGTCAAGGAATAAGACTACAAATGAAGATGCTAAGATTATTAAATTGGCTATCTGCTTTTCTTTCAGATGAACATTTCAATGGCTTCTTTGTATAGACATCAGTTAACACCCTACAGCAAGAAAAATTAATAACAACATTTATTCTAATATCATAATTTGTCTTTAAACAATTCTGAAACTCTAGGCTGATTGCATTTCTGCCAGCTGAATAACCTTCTGCCAAAATGAGAATTGAGATAGCATAAACAACAGGTCAGAAAGTTTGCTAGACATCTCTCCTTTTTTTGAAAACTCTTACCCTTATCTGTTGTGGCTGCAAAAGAGAACTGCTGGAGCAACTGATGATAAAACTACCTGGTTGAAGGAACTACATGATTCAAGTCTACTCTCAGTCAGTAACAGCAAAAAAAAACCCAGATAGTATCAGTCACCTGTATCCAGCTGCAAATATTGGCCACTAATATCATTCTTCCCCCCCACACTCTCCTACATGGAGATGCACAAGACCATCATGCACCAAGCAGATAGGTTTCCAAAAGGCCTGACCGCCCAGCAGGTACAATAATAGCTGCCATGGCAATATTTTGCATAGTTAGATGAACAGAAGAATACGTCATTTATAAACTGCTGCCTCTCTGAAATCTGTATGATACCTTAAGTTTGGACTTGGAGGGACTGAGTAGGTGCTTATATTTTTGAACCACAGTGGGATTTGGAACAACCAGATATACACACTGCATGCGTGTGAATCTGACTGAAAGCAGCATAGAATCATAGGATGGTTTGGGTTGGAAGGGGACCTAGAAGATCATCTAGTTCCAAACCCTGCTGTGGGGAAAGACACCTTCAACTAGACCAGGTTTTGCAGAGCCCCATCCAATCTGACCTTGAACACTTCCAGGTGTGGGTCACCTACAGCTTCCCTGGGTAACCTGTTCCTGTGCCTCGTCACCCTCACAGTAAAGAATTTTTCCTAGTACCTACTGTCTTTCAGTTTGAACCCATTCCCCTTGTCCTGTCACTTACATGCTCTTGTAAATAGTCTTGCCCCATCTTTCCTGTAAGTTCCCTTCAGGTACTAGAAGGCCACAATTAATTCATCCTGCAGCCTTCTCTTCCAGGCTGAACAATCCCAGTTCTCTCAGCCTATGCTCATAAGACGGGTGCTCCATCCCTCTGATCAGCTTGGTGGCCCTCCTTTGGACTTGCTCCAACAGGTCAGTGTTCTTCCTGTGTTGAGGACTCCAGAGCTGGATGCAGTACTTGAGGTGGGGTCTGACCATAGACCTCATCAGACCATATCTGGAAAGGGGAGTTCTTAAGATGTGGATTAAGACCTATGACAGGTGGAAAAAACTCCAACAATAACGCTTAAAGGTCTCATTTTTCACTGTGTCTATCGGTCTGTTTCTTATGACATTCTCTGCTTGAACAACAATGAAATGCTTCATAGTTGCCTGTAGGGCTAGGAAGGAAAGTCCTTTGCATTTAGATGTAGTTAACCAAGAGCAAGACATGAGAGGCTAGGCAGGAAAATATCACATTTTCTTTAAAACACTGGAAGTTCAGTTGCAGGTTTAGAAGCTGACTTCTTTCTGTCTTATAGAAGTTGCAAGGAGAAACAGATTTTTCTTAAATAACAGTGTTTCACTCCTGTCAATTCCTAGTAGTTTTAAACCTTGTTAGATAATTAGCAATCAGTAGTATTCCAAACAAGGCTACTGAGAGTCAATTCCAAAGGAAAAAAATCTTTGCCTTTGAACCAGCATTGGCTGATTTGTCAATGCAGCACACAACAACACATGTTGTTATAAATGTGTGAAAATATTGGTCAGTAAGGCTTTTTATACTTCTTTGTGAGAAAAGGAGAAAGAACAGTTTTGTGTGTGATATTTCTGCACAACAGAAGACATACTCCTCTGACACTGATGGAGGGTGTTTCAAATTTCTAAAGTAAAATGGTACTAAGGTTGTTAAAATGCTTTCCACAATTCATACCAGCAATGAATGATAGTTTTTCTGTCTTCTTTCTTGCCATGCGTGAAATGAGTCTCTACCTCACTGACTCCAGCTGCTCGTCTGTGACCATTTCTGTTGCTTTGTATGATGGAGGCTATAAAGAGTAGTGCTGTGGCAGCCTCTCCACAATGTAACTACTGCATCAAGCAAAACACAAGGTTGCCTGTTTGGATGGGGAGCTGTATCTTTCCAGCTCCTTTTTTAAAATCAACAGGCTGGGGATGCTGTCCTATCTATTATTCCTGTTGTAAGTTTTGGAAAATTTCAGTGATATTTGAGTTTCATGTTTTGTACTACCTAACAATGGATGTTGCAGAAATGAGAAAGGTTTTTACGTATGAAAGCGTAAAAACTCTGGTAGCAAATTCCATTCTAAAGAACATTTTATTCCACTTCAGCTACAAAATTATGGTGCTGCCAAACACTGCAGTCACAGGCTAAAACTCTAATCAAAAAAAAACAAAAAAAGCAATATCTTTTTGATCATTTCTTTCTTTCAAGCTATTAATAATGTACCTTGTGTTGGTACAGTATGTCATAAACTGTCAACACTGGTAGAAAAATGTCAGAGCAAGCTGCTGACAGACCAGAGCAGTCTAGCACCATAACATGTATGGCACATATACATTTATATTTTCTAGCTTGTGTAAGCTTACCAGTGCATTTGCAAATCCTACTTCAGAACTGAAACAGCTTTGAGATCTGTAAACTAAAAAAAAAAAGGAATTTTAATGCACTTAACTTGTTAGGAAATATTTAAAGTTTTAAAAAAGGAGCTGTGTTTCATCCTCATTATTGCCATATTTTTGCAGATGCACAGCTGTGCAGTCTGGTGACATATTGGCCCAGTGTAGTCAAGTATTTGCTTCCATGTTTATAAAGTTTTAAGTAAAATGTACTTCACCTAAGACACTCAGGTGCGATGAGGGCCCTTAAATATTTGGTTGCAGAGTAATTTATTTGTACATGGAATTAGGGGCCAGTGACAAAGTATGGTGCTAGGAATTAAGTACATAGGACAGTTCATATTTGTAGGCAATTTAGTTCATCTTCATATGTTCCACAAAATTTGTATTTGCTGTGTCAAAGGCATACAAGTCTCAGTGGCAATGCACTAGCAGGCAGCCTGTTGTACCATTTAAAAGAAAAGGGAATAGCCCCAAATTTTCTTGATAACCCTAGTTTTAAGAATACTTCAAAAGACATTTTCTCCTTATTTTCCTGCTGAATTACTGAGCTGAGATTCACAGATGGCAAAAGACAAGAGTTATTACTACTAATTAATGATTAAGACTAATCATTAAGACTTACATCTCTGTTGTAAGAGGCCAATTTCGAAAAAATCCTACTCTTAGAATAAGTAGAAAAAATTTCTGCACTAACATCCTAAGATTTTTTTTGATAGGCTGTTTGCATAACATGACTCTTTTCCAAGTTAGTTTGAAGTAAGATGAAGCATTTTTCATGTTAATTCAAAGACTGAGCATCTTATTGAGCAGTTCCACAAAGGGACATTATGTAAGAATCCCAGAGCAGTACATAGGCTCAGACCCAGTGTTCATCTGGTATTCCAAGTCATCTACCAGACAGATAATTAAAAGTAAGAGGATGGAAAGCATATATGGCATTTTCTTCTAATACTGTCTCATTTTATGACTGGTTTCAGCTCAGAGAATATCCTGAAGCCAATATGACTTAGGAGTCCCACTTATTACAACGAGGAAGCATCTTTTTCCATTTGGCATTTGCATTCATTCATTCAAAAAGAAAGCAAATGTATTTGCAGATTTAAAGGCAGAGGATGAAACAAGGTGGCAGAACATGATTATTTGCAATCTCTCATGTCTTGGATACCTGGATTCAGTCTCTTCTCTACATCTTTTCCCTAGCAAGCACATCACAGGCTACCAGCTTTTCTAGGATACCTCTATGTGGAAGAAATGTGACCACTGTACTCCTTAATAGCGAGAAAGAGAGAAACAAAGAAATGGACGTCAATCATGATGCTGAAGAACAGTAATGTTTGGTATAGCAAGCCTGTGTTCCATTCCTGTTTCAGCAACTTACTCATGCTGTCCTGTTGCTGTCTGTTTCAAAGTACAACTCCCACCACTGCCTCCTGGAAGACACAATTTGTAACAAAGCAGAATCTGCTTATGTACAGTTTGTTTAGGATCTGATCCACCAGGCATGCTCAGGGAACACCTACTGCATCAAGCCCTGCAGGTGAGACAGGCAATGGAACCCCTATTTTATGGTTCCCATAGGACACGAGTAGGAGGTAACTGTCATGTCCTGTCAACACTGAGATGATGAGGCACATGGCCAAGGCAGGGAATTAATCAAGTTTTCATTAATGAAAGGCTTTTGCTGCCTTTGAGGCAAGGCAGCACCAAAGAGAGGTTTGGAGGATCTCAGTGTTGGAGCTTCATGTCTGTCCTTCTTCAGAGGTCAATGGATATTTTGAATCTTAATCTGAAGTCTTGATTTGAATCTCAAGTCTAGTACTACATATTCTGTATTCACTACATATTCACTACAGTAGTACCACAGCTTCTTCACTATGCCCTTTCCAATGGAAAAGACAAGGCCAGTGTCTCAAGAATGCTGACCTCATTTATGGATCCTTCACAAGGATCAAGACTCATCAGAGTAAGAATAATTTTGATACCATGCAGTGTGCTGGAAGGTTGGACAGATGTCCAGTACTTGCTAGTCAGACTGCCAGCATAAAAGCCTATCAATTTTTTTCTATAATTATAGATTCAGTGTCGAAGAAGTGGTAAATGTAACCATAGTTTTATTGCTAAGCTTCCCAATCTCGAGTGTATTGAAAAGTCAAGACATCCCATATTTACACTTTTAAAAAATGAGACAGCTTGGTCTTTTTTAAATCAAAGCTCGTATATCACTTTCAGTGGTTTAGATAGTTTAAAGTCTATTTGCTGATTGTTCCAATTCTGTCGAATAGAATTTGCTTCAAGTCCAGCAGAAGCAAATCCTACAATGCCAGTAATAGCCTAATAATAGACTTGTCTGATATCAGTGCTTTATAGCTGATTTCTACAGGAACATGAGAACAATAAAAACCAATATCCTAAGTACTGACCAAATCCAGGCTCTGGTTAAAAGCTCACAGAACTGAACATTTTACTTTTTAATTCAGTGTGTCTGTTTAGACATCGGCTCTGTTATAACTGTGAATTGATCAACTGTATCAGCTGAATCACTGTCCCATGCAATGTGGTCACAGATCAAAGTCATTCTGAAGGTACAAAGGAATTGGTGAAAGAACTCTATGCCCATTCCAGTAGTGATCCAGTTGTCCTTCTAACACTGATTTTTGTGTAACAAGAAGAAACCTACTTTTCATAATCACTTGATCTTCTGTGTCATTAAAATTTTTCCTGTTCTCCAGTGGATTTCAGTGCAATGCATTTCAATAATTAGTCTTCCAGACTTCCTAACACTAGGAAGATACACTGGAAGTTTGTACCTCAGATACCTACAGCTCATCGGGATTTTATCTCCATCCAAGTGACATTACTGCAACAAATGCTCTGTACAAGCAATCCAGTACATATTTTTCTTTTGCAAGCTATGCCTATTTGAGAGTCACAGGGTAGTGTGTATGGATGAGAATATGAAGGAAAAGTTCAGGAGATCTTTTACAATCCTTTTCCAGTCCTAGCAGAGGTCTTTGGGTTCAAAGAGTTCGGTGATGCTGGAATGTCGGCATTGATCATCTGCCAAAGAAGTGAGGAGGACAATATCATGACTACAATTCTCTAGTGAAAGTGCAAATCTCACTTTCTGATCTCCCCAGACTTTTGGGAGTTTTAATGATATATGATCCAGAGGATCATCAATATACCATTATGCCACCCACCCTAAAACCTTTGTTTGTACGATTGCACAAGAAACTTTCCTTAACAACACTTTTTAGCATCTGCCTTCTTTGGAAGACAGTTGGTTTTGCTGCTGTATTTCAATTTATTTTGTCTGTAGTATTAGCTAGCCCTACTGGTTTGTAACCTCTGCATGTCCTGCTGTGTATTAACTTTTCCAGATGTGAGAGACTGAAATTGGTTAATGGCTTAAACACTAGGTCACCTACAAGTAAAGAAAGATGAAAGTGAACTTAGCTACCCCAAAAGCTCTTCTTCTCTTAACAAACTTCCACCTGATTCCTTATTCTTTCCCACCTTTCTCCTAAACATTAATAAGCTCATTCTTTATCAGGCTGAATAATGACATGCACTTTGCAATCTTAAATGTTAACTCTACCTGAGAAACTGTGCTGGAAAACAGTGTAAAGACCAAGTACATTGTGTCTGACTCTTGGCCCATATCTCTGACGCAGTGCTCACAAAGGCGTTCATCAGGTTTGTTAACCAGGCCTGCCCTCTCACAAAAGACGTCAGCAGGCCCTGCCTGAGAAGGAGTTCTGTGGCTAATTTAGCAGAATGTGACCTTTCAGAGGAGGTTGGAAGGCCAGTGGAGTGTGTAAGTATGGAAATAGAGGAAAATACTCTTACTGAAGCAGTGAAAATGAGAGGAGACCCATATAAAACCTTTGGCTGAGCTCCATTACATTGCACACTGGGATGGATACCCAGTCTGGCATGACATGATCATTGTATTACCTAGTAATATATCAGACAACACAAGGATTTTTGTTCCTTGTTACCTGGAAGCCATCATAGGGATGGTCTAGTCATAAAAATTGGTCGTGAAGAGAGTTATATTTATTTCAAAGAAAAAAATAACTATTTCTCTACTACTTTCTATGGGAAAATATAGGAAATATTCATACCAATTTGCATTTAAATAGTATTCTAATATTAGAAAGCAAAATGTCTGGTAATGTACTGAAATAAAACCATTACTTTGGATATGCAGAGAAGGGGCTTTTGCTTCTGACACAATTGGCAAGTCTCGTCCCCAGCTCCAGAGCTGATGACACTGTCAGTTTTAGTGTTTCAGCAGGAGAAAATGTCACTTATACCAAGGAGGTGCACAAACAGGGAGTCGGAGCTTCAGCTCCTTCCTGTTTTTCAAGCTTTTCAGTAATGCCTGTTTCTCACAAATAAAGTGTTCCTGGCTGTCTGACACCTGTGTTGCCAGCACTGTGTGAGGCCACCCCCCAGGCCCAGTTTAGGTGCCGACAGAGGCTGCATGACCCATGTGACTGTCCCTACCCTTCACCAGACAACTGGGGACCTCCCTCCCACCTTCCCCACCCAGGGTGGTTGCTATGTCAACACCCATCACCCCCCCCTCCTCAGGATGTTGTTGCTATGTCAACGGTCTCCTTGTGGCATCCACCCCATGGAGGGAAAGGCTGGAGGGGTTGCCATGGAAACCATGCTGTCCTGAAGCATCAGTAGAGCTGGTCTCTTCCCCACCTTTCTTCCCCCAGAATGTTCTGCCATGCTGCTGAGACAATCCTCAGACATGTCCTGCTCTGTCCCACATTCCATCCCCATGGCTGTACTAACCCCAGCTGCCCACAGCTGCTCCCACCTGCCACAGCACTGGAGCAGCTCTCATCTGGAGACACAGGTAGCCCTTGGACAAACCAATGTAAGGGACTTAGCTCCACCTCTCAGGGAACAGGGGAAATGAGAAGTCACGGATTGTGCTGGTGATGAAGTGCTCAGTGCATGACTGTGGGAAGATGTAGCAGGGGATGCACATCTATTTGGCAGCAGATATACATTATCAGACCAGGCTTGTATCATATAGCAACAACAACCAAAACCAGCTCTTCATCTAGAAATACTTCCTGTATTACATCACTCTCTTAAAATTGAAAAAAGCTCCAGAAGGTGTGATTATTTTTTTTTTCAGCTGAGTTTGTTGTGGGAAGAAAGGATCTGAACCAATTCTGTAGAAAGGCTGTAGTAAGAAAATGTGGGGAAAAAATACTCAAAATCCCAAATATTTGATGGAACGTTAAAATACACAGGAGTACTTTTACCACAGGTATTTGAACAGAAAAAAATCAAAGGTCTTGACTGCACAACATAACAAACCACAGTTAATGAATACCTGCTTATCCCTAGAATATCTGAGCAAAGTGATTTGTTTTCAAAGATCTCTTCCCTATCACAGGGAGCATCTAGGTATTTGGAGAAGTAGAATAGTAGAGGAATTTGCAGATATAGTCTGAAGAATCAGAATGTTGTCAATGCAGAAGACATTAAAAAAAAAAACTAGTTTCAGAGTCACAAGACACTCACACGTACTCAATATTTTGCTTCTTGCATACACATTTTAGTTAATAAGTGATACAGTGAATACTAAATAAGAAGTATTTGAACGTATATTTATCAGTGCTTAGGATAAAGACTGTCAAGAGTTCAGGTGCATATTCTGAGATTACAAACACCGGCTTTGACATTAACTCTGGGAAACATACAATGAGTTCATCTCATATGCATTCTACTGCTGAATCATCAAAGGGGCAGAGATGGACTCTCCTCAAGGATAAGGGACTCCATATACATTTTAACTATTGTTATACACCGCTGCTGCTTATCTAAGAGAAACATGTAACTGCAGATGACCTCACATAATCAGGAGAGTAACTTACAAAAATGCCCAGATCAAGAGATTTTGAGTTATACCTCCTAAGAGATATCTTTCTATCTTACTGTCTTTTTGAAAGAAGAACACTTGTTCTCTAAGAGGTGTTCCAGCAGGAAGTCTGGAACATGCTTACAGAAAACTAGAAATCATCCTCTAATCTCACGCTAAAGGCCATTACTTCATTTGTAATTGGATGGGCTTCAATCATATTTCACATTACAATAAAGCAGTTCCAAATCCATCTCAAAACCAACCTTTTTGCTTTGTTCTCCTCTGCATTCACTATGTAGCATAGAAAATTGGCTCACAGTATGATATAAAAATATGCAATCCATCGTTGCTCTTCACTAGACTTCAGAGTTTATCTCTGGGGAAATAGGAACTTGTTTGTGTAGAAACCTAAAATCATGATGTTCTCTGTATTATTGAATATATGTCTTTGATCCAGTAATGGATCATATTCTTAATGTAAGAATATACAGTTATGTCTGGATATCAGTCATCTAGACCTACCTAAGCAGAAGCTGCTCAGTTCCCCATATATTTTCCTCATCTGTTTTCAAAATCTGCCTTTCCTTTTGGACTTTACAATGCCTGTAGCAGAGAGTTCTTAAATTTAATTATGTACTGTATGAAAAACTGTTTAATTTGTTTTCATCTGATAATTTAATTTTTCCCCTTTCTTCTACAGTAAAATATTGTCAATAAAAAAATTCTTAGCACCTTTTAAACCAGTCATTATTTTACAGGTTTTAATTATGGACATCTGTGGTAGACTTGTATACATATAATTTTCTGACATTGTAAGATGGATATGCCTTCTTTTGAGCAATATTTTCTTCTGGCAAAACACCTCATGGAAATAGCACTGGTCTTAGCTATAACTCTGCTAGGAATTCAAGAAACATTACAATCAAGGTACATTGATTTCAGTCCATGGGTCTTTCCTGAAGAACTTCCAATATAAAACTGGAGATAGAAAAAGCAAAGGGGCGGGGACACTAATTAAGGTATGGATGTCTTCAAATGGGTCTATTTATTTAGCTGATTCGAATTTCTTAACTTGGTGACACTGATGTAGCAGAAGAAAGCATTTAGGAGGGAATAAGGCTGGTGAGTTGGTGTACTACACGTAGTGAAACAGCACAGAACAGTGGAATCAAATTTGGAGAAGAACTCAGACATGCATCAGTTAAAACTTCCTAATTCATATCTGCTTAGAAAAAGTGAGTTTGTTACAAATTTTGTCAGAGTAAGGATTTCAAGGACAAACTCTTCAGTGAATAGCTTGAAAGAAAGCAAACTACCTAAGTGCTACATAATGTGATGTTATGTAAAGAAAAAAAAAGAAGAGGCAATTCATCTTTGAAACTTCAACTTCCACAGGAACGTTTGTATTGACAAAAAGACTGTTATAATTTAGGTACAACATAGAGGATAAATTCATATCCAGAAGAAAGAAAATGTTCATCTACAGCCATTTATAAATGTATTATGAAATTACTTAGTTTCAGTGTAAGGAAGAACACAACAACAGTCATTAATATCAAATTTCCCATTATTTAAAACCACATAAAAGCTTTTAAAACAATGCCCTGAAGCCAGTTATAGGATAATTTAAGTGAACAGCATAATTCTGGATTATAAGAACCTTCAGAAAGAGTCTGGTTGCACACTTGTTGCGCTTTTGTATAAATATTAATGACTGAAAGGCTCGAATAGCATATATAGATAAATTGTATATATGAGCTAAATATTTTAGAACTTTTGTCTTGATTTTTCTTTGATGTTTCTCTGACTAAGGCATTAGTGTGGCATATGCTATTTCAACTACAAATATTATGCTCCTCCTACAAAATAAGTGGAAACCAGACATTAATAAAAGAGACCTCTGACTAAGATTTCATTCCTTTGAAATTTTCATGTGGGAAAACTGTCATTGCTGCCATCCTGCACCTAATTTGATCTACTTTTCAGATTAAACAATGGGATTTGCAAGTATACATATTTACATGTAGGGACAGGAGATAACATAGTACACTCATTAGAATTAATATAATGTGAGTGGAAACGTGACACAGCCCTGTACCATGGACCTGTACAGATCTCCAGCAAAGTCCCAGTTAAATCCTCTGTTACATTTCTTTGCTGGTCCATACATGGGAAGCAGAAAATACATATTTCTACACAGTAAACTTTAGGTCAATTTTGAAAACCAAAGTTCACAGTCAGTTTGGAGTGTGGAGCTGTTTTATAGAAGAAAGACCAACGAGTCCCTCTTGTGCAACAACAGCAAGTGGATAGCAATGGGAATGAAGCAGAATATTGAGAAATCATAAATGAGAGCAGTTTGAACAAAGTGAAGAATAATGTGTGGAATTAAAAGGGACAGACAGAGGGCTTATAGCCAGCAGAACTGCATTACCTACCTGAAATACTTTTGCCAAATTGTCAAAGAGAGCTTGACCAGCACTGACTTTATGCTTGACTCCCCTGACTGTGCCATTTTTGCTGAGGATGTTGACTCGCTTTGTACCAAATCCTTTCTCTTTAGTGGCTCTGACTAAAATGAGCAAGTCGTCCTCCTCGTTCTCGTTTTCATCACACTCGGACCCCATGTGTCCATTCTGCTGCCCGTCCACTTCGCTCAGCCGGCTGGTTTGATCAGTCTCTGAGCTACTGGCGTATTCAGAGTCCAGAGAGTCGGCAGCCTCCCCATCGGTGTACACCTCCTTCAGCACCCTCCCGCTGTGTGAGGACGCAACACGGAATCGAACCTTCCTCGACAGCCTCTCGCTGTCTGCCTTCACCTCACTTTTAAACATTGCCTCTTCCATTGATATAAGCAGTTTGCATTGTTCCAGAGTGGTGCCCATTGCATTTGCCAGTTTGTCACACTTAACAACAATATCAGCACTGTTTTCTGTTGACAGGGGTTCTCATATTAAACTAAAGAGGATTCCCAAGAAGCCACTGCTGTTCTGCAGTTAATAATGGATGCATTTGTGCTATGGTTACCTTTAAACTAAAACCTGTAAAGTGATATCATTAATTAAATATTAAAAAGACATTGTGTACTTTTTAGCACTAAGGAAGAAAGCAAGAAAGGGAGAAATTATATTCATGGATTAAAATAAAAATTCAGACTCACACAGGGAAAGGAAAGGGAGGGGAGGGGAAGGGAGGGGAGGGCAGGGCAGGGCAGGGCAGGGCAGGGCAGGGCAGGGCAGGGCAGGGCAGGGAAGGGAAGGGAAGGGAAGGGAAGGGAAGGGAAGGGAAGGGAAG